TCAAGTACTTAGCTAGAGAACACCGGCAGAATAGATTGCGCCCGAACGACCTGTCACAGAAAGATGAGACTTCGGCAGTGGTTCACCCACCCGGGGGCACTCCGGCGATCAAGTCAGTACTCAGTTATCTCTTAAAGATAGCAAATAGTGCTTTAACTCTCTAGTCAGAATACAAAAAGTGTACCTTAGACCCACGAGGGTGCGTTTCTTTTATAGTCAGCACTGACCTGATCCTTGTAGAAGCCTAGCTTCTCTTGGACTCTGGCCCAATGCTCATCCTGGACTCTCCAATAGATAAAGATAAACTTTACAAGAGTTTTATCCTTATCCAAGTTGAGATTCTTTCTTATTCTAGGACTCTTATAGCTTATCCGTTCATCCTGAATTCCGGTATCTTCGCAAATAACCTCGGCCTCGCCGAGATAATCTCGGCGTCATAATTAGGATACGTGGCACCTCGGCTGACACTTTGGTGCGACCTTGGCCACGTGTTGTTATTCAAAAAAAAATATGTCCCCACAATGATCATTGGGGGTCTAGAAGGAGAATGTGGTTGGAGGATGACTACAAGCACTAGGCATCATAACCCAGCAATACACCTTTTCTATTTATGCTCTTTTACATCGTCTGAGGGAAAAAAAAATATCACCTGGATGTAACTAAACAAATATAGTAACAAGTTTAATTAAAAATATTTCACAAATTGTTATTAATTAGGTATCATTATGTTTGAATCTTAAATTTATAAAGAGGAAAAAACAAAAAGAAAAGAAAAGAAAAGAAGAGAAGTTATTAGTAAAATGAAAAAAAAAAGAATATATAATTGTCAAAAAATGCATTTTTTGTTTGATAATAATACAAACACATAAATTTATGTGTTTTTAGCATTATTAAATTTTTTTGGGTACAATTTTTAGCATTATTATTGTCCAATTGTTATTTTACTAAAACAATTACAAATTTGAAATTGTTAAAACTGGTTTGAATATGATAGCAGGGACTTACGTAGCCTTAGACAATGAATTCTTCTAGAATGCTTTGTTCTTTATTTTGTTTTTAAGTTTTTTTGTTTGTTTGTTTGTTTTGTTTTTATGTTTTTTGGAAACTCAGTGTATAATTGGAGCAATTATTATGTTTTTCTGACATGGAGTATAATGTTTTATTCTTCCTTCTCTGGTTTTCTATTTAACTATTAGCAGGACACATGATGAGTATGCTTACCATTACTAGTTGGGCAATTGGTTTTGGTTGTTTTAAGGCTGATGTTATAAATTTGGGCAAATTACAATCACCCTTCGAGATTTGGTAAAAATATAGATTCTTTTCTGAGGTTTGAGAAATTACAAATTACCTCATGAAGGTTAAATTTTCATAACAAATTAGGAAAAATTAGGAAGAATCTGTATGAAAATAAAAATCTCAGGGGACAATTTGTTATGAAAATATAAACCTTAGGGGCGGGATGTAATTTTTCAAACTTCAGGAAGGAATCTGTATTTTCACCAAATCTCGAAAGGGTATTTGTAATTTGCCCTATTTTTTAATTGACTTTTCCAGAACTTGATTGTATAATTTTTTCAATATTGGAGTTCTTGCATACAATATTGGGGAGGGAAAGAAAGAAAGAAAAAAAAATCAAAGGCAACAGTTAACAATTGATACCAGTCTTCCATGTGATGATTATTTTTCAATAAAATTTTGTCAAAATTGAGTGATATAGCTGTGTAAATACATAAGCGTCATTAGATTTCGTTCTTATTGCTTTCATACCCAAAATCCCCAACCCTAATAAAGTGAGTGATTATAGACCTATTTCTTGTTGTAACACTGGTGTACAAGTGCATTGCTAAAATTTTATCCAATAAAGTGAAAAGTGTTGTAAGCGCAATCAGCTTTGGTATAAGCACAATAGGCTTATAACTTCATATTTTACTAACCCATAAATCGAAGGGACAAACCGATGATAAATAGTCAAATAGCCTTTTATTGAAGCTCACTTAGACCCGCCATATGACCTATATGGATCTTTTAGTTTTCCACATCCTTAAGAAACTAGTCCGTCGTAACCAAAAAAAACTGGGTCAGGAGCTTAGGCACAAGATGGGAAGGTTTTATGCACCTATCTTGTCCGACACAAGGTCGACCTCTATTCATCATCTCTTTGATTCTTAGTTTTAAAATTGTTAAACATGATGCATGATGACAGTTTATACAATAACACGAAAAAGGTCAATCCAAAAGGATACATTGTTCAAAAGAGGGATTTTGTATTTATTTGAGAAAAATAATTTTAAAGTTAGGTAAAAAAATAAAATAAAATAAAAAAAGAGACCCATTTTTTTAAAAAAGACAGGAGTTCAATTCAATTATAAAAATTGGGTCAACAACTCCAATCAAACCTATTTTAACAGTTATCTCAATGATCAAAACAAAAAAACATAAAAAAATAAAAAATAAAAAATAAAATTAAAAAAACTGAAACTAAATACAATGAATAATAATAATAATAATATGTTTGATGTGATATTAGTAGAGGAACCCAACTCAACATTCGAACATAGTACTTGGTTTTGGTGTTTTTGCTTCAATAAGAGGTGTAATGAGCTGATTTCACATGCTTTAATTAATTATTTGCACAATCTTATTAATTGGTAGCACGAGGCGCAAATATCACGTTAGTGTTAATTAGAGGTAGGGGCAATAAGGGATTAGGATCTCAACTTTTAAGAAATTACATTATAAGCTAAGGTTTTCAAAACGTTTTCAATGTTTTTCCTCTAACATTATATATATTTACACATTACACTTGAATTTTTGTTCATTCTTCATCTAACCAACTCAACACACCATTAATTTAAACATATTCACAAATAAGTTTAAGAAAACATTTCTTTTTAAGGAAAGTGAAATATCCCTCTCCAACTTTGTGGAGTAGAAGAGATCGAAAATATATATTTTTTATTAGCTAAGATCTCTCAATATTTTCACAGAGAAAATTTGACTCAAAGAATTTTCATCTGACTCAGAGAAATTTTGAAATTTCTTTGTGAAATTAAAGAATATATATTTTTTATTAGCTAAGATCTCTCAATATTTTCACAGAGAAAATTTGACTCAAAGAATTTTCATCTGATTCAGAGAAATTTTGAAATTTCTTTGTGAAATTAAAGAAATTTCTCTATGAAAAATAAAATTTCTCTGAGTTGAGGCGAAATTCTCTGAGTTGAATTTTCTTTGTAAAAATATTGAGGGATCTTAATTACTATAAAAATATTATATATCCTTTATTTTATAAAATTTTAATATTAGGGACCTTAAAAAAAATTTCTCTTATTTTTATTATGTGTGTTTAATTGACATTGTTTATTTATTTATTTTATATTACTTGATAGTTCTACACTTAAATATTAAGATGATTTTATTGTAGTGATATGTATTATATTGAAGTAATTTACAAACAGTGAGAATTGATTTTTTATTTTACTATAAATTAAACTTTGTGTTCCAAATTGGCCTAATCTAATATATATTTGTTTTATTTACTTTGTCAGTGTACAAGAAGTTGCTGAGAAAAAAATTAGAGGACGGGTCTATTAATAAATCGGTCCAGGGAAACAGACCGATTGTTCCATCAGCCCAAGTCAATCCAATTTGCAGTCTTTTTTGGCAAATGAAGTACTACTCATTGCGCTTGCTTAAACGCAGTGAGAAAAAAAATAAAATAAAAATTGTGCATGCCCTCACCATATGATATCCATAATGCTTGTGAGCATGCTCACTCCACACAATTTTGAGAAGCTGTGCTCAAATGACCATGATAAATATATATATATATATATATATATAATAATATTTTATTTATTATTTTATGTTCTATATTGTATTTTTAATAAGTATAATTTGTTAAACTTATTAAACTAATACAATTTTAACAGGTGACGTGGTGACATTATTGTCATTTGACAAAGCAACAATGATGTAAAAAAAATACTGTGGGTCTATAGGTTTAAAAAATACAACTAATTCATGATATTGGCCCATAGCAAGCACTTTCAATATGCACTCCTCGATCTCAAATACAATTTTATGGGACAATTTTTTGAGTTCAAAAGCTTTCCCACAAAACTATTCAAAAATACTAAATAGGCACACAATAAATTACCAAATAAATGACAATACACTTATATGACGTGAGTCTCGCGGTGTGTCTATATCAAGTTTGATTAAAAAAAGTGCCACAAAATAATGTGACTTGAATTCATTTTAGATAAGACTTACACCATACTTAAATTAGAATGGAAAAATTATAAGTCAATCCATTTTTTTAACAAATAATTGCACATTCATAAAAAAAAAAAAAAATTATAATTATAATTATTAATATTTTAAAAACTTATTACTGATTTAAAATTATTTTCTATAAAACTGATTTGATATTTTTCTAATATTTTTTATGGATACCTAGTGTTTTCAATTGATGCAGTGAGAATGAAAATGGTGGTCCAATGGAGGTGGGGGTGGGGTGTTGGTTTGGAGTGAACCTTACTTTACAAAATGTCAGGCTTGTTACAGATGGGCTTTGCAAATGGACCCCTATCTCTCATCTTTTATCAAAGAAGATGCCAAACAAAACCCAAATGGGATTGGACTCATTAGGTGGTAGGAGAAGGACGATTCTATAGCAGTAGCCAGCCATGTTCTAACACATTCATCATTTCAGGTTTTATTGACAAACCCATTGTCTCTATTCAATGTCTTCATTGATCGGTCCTTCTATGGCAAAGCCTTGCTCAATTCTTTTTGGCTGTGGGCATTGTCACCATCGTCCACTGCCTAATGCTGGTCCCAATCGACAAACAAAAAGACAAGCCTTTTATCGGATGTGGGTTTAACCTCACAGCTTTAGTCCCTTTCAACTTTGTCTGTCTTTTGATCTCATTGATTCCAGTGGGGGACTAAGGCCTGTCCTTGTTGATGATTTCCGAGTTATAAAATTTGAACAGTTAATATTTTAGTTACTTGTATCTAAATCATTCTTGAAACAGATCATAATGATCAGATAAACGTAGTAATATGATTTCAGTGCATTTGGTTTTTTCAAAAAATTGGATTTCATTTATAGTTTTAGCCAAGCTGAGACCAAATTTGAAGTGCAGAAGACATGATTTCGCAAACCACAATTTCTAGTGGAGTGCAGAGTTTTATCAATTATTGTTCTGTAATGTGCTATAAAAAAAAAAAAAAAAAAAAATTAAAAATTAAAAAAAAAAAAAGTCTTGTTAATCCAAATATATTAAGGTACTAGGAATCGTCATTTTCTGTTTGCGAAGCAGCAAGAAAGAGAGATCCGGCTCCAGAGCCACCATGCGAATGCTCGATGATGACATTGTCAGAGAGTTCATTTCCAAGCATCTCCCAAACACTGCTGTGCAAATAGTTTCTAAATACTCTGTAATGCTCGTAAAGTCCGCCTTCAACGGTAACTACACTCCTCTTATTTGCTATTCTTCCAAGCTTCTTTATTGTCCCAACTATGCCAGCACCGGCAAGGCGGGCTCCACGCTCAGCTACAATGTCGCAAACCTCGGCAATCACTTGTCTCACCATTGGAGTTGAATTGGTAATCTGTGTGGAGTCATGGAACATAATAAAGTATTACACAACTAAAAGTCCAGCACACCTGATTGTTATTAGAGCATTTTAGACCTTACCCCAAATATTTCTTTCAGTTTTTCATTGACGACTTCATGATCCTCTGATGTATCTTGATGCATGGCAGCCACGTCCGGTGACCTATGTCAATTGTCAAAGACGACGATTTAGACCTTCAAGTACGTTTTCTCGAAACTGAAAATATCTATATGATATTTCCTCTGCATTATAGAATCATTAATGTAAATTACGTGATACATGTAGCTTTGTATGGCTAAAGAGATGATCATAAATCTGCCACTAATCTCAGTGCAATCCAATTTCAAGCCCTTCCTGGTTTCAATCCCATCTATTGGCAATTCTAGGATCATAGACATGAAAATGGGGTTTTGTTATAATTTATATTCATGTAGATATTTTCTTGAAAGGTATCAAAGCCCAATTTCTTGAAATGGAAGTGGGTGATTGCAATTGAAAGGAGGACTGAAAGAGAGTTCTCTGCAGTAAACAGAGTTTTCACTTGGAAGCACATAACAAGCTTTCCATACTAGTAGGTGCAGTAGTTATGGAATGAGTGTGAAACGTTCAAAAAAAAAAAAAAAAAAAGCAACAGAGCAGAACAATGAAATACCAAAAATATCATTACTCCAGAATTGAGGATGGATTACCCTGAAGTTGAATCAAGTGGATTGAGTGATTAGTGCTCAGTACATAATCATGCTGCAACCATGCATAATGTAATTAATCTGCAAGATTAAAAATTACTTTGGGTACCTCAATGAGTAAGGAATAGCAAGTTTGGGTGGTACTGTATCTCCAAACAAAGCTGTTTCCTGGGCCATCTTCAGTATAACTCTTCTAACAATCTCTCCCAGATACATTCCTGAAATGAGCTTTTCGAAGATCTGAGATAAAAGAAAATTCAGAAACAAATGCAGTATATACCCAAATGCATCAATGGGTAGAGAAAACTGAAACACACGAGTCACGATACCCACCTGGTTACCCGGATTTGAGCTTTCAGCATCTAAAGAAGCATCAAACTCGGTTAATGGAAGATGGGAGGAACTGAAGCTTCCCCATTGCATGTTAATCACCTGAAAATGTAAATTACATTTGTTCACTCAACCTTTGTTCAGCCAAGTCAATGATATTTGTTGATTGTATGCATTTCACACTCGATTGGATCCATGTAAAAAATAATTAAAAGAAGAAGATGGAATATAGCAGCCGTAATACATATGATGATATACTGACCACGTATCCTGATTTGGGGAATGGTCCCTTCCATTTGGGAACTGACTGTGCAGTCTCAACATAAGCAGCATTAGTGCCCATCCCAAGGGTAATTGCAGCTATAGTTTCTTTGTTGTAATATCTACCTCCAGCCAAATCTCCTACAGTTTCATCAACCTGCACAACCCACCAATCTATCTCTTATAACCTTTTTTTTAGGCTTTTTAAGCTGTGATTGATAATATTAGAGGCAAGCAAAGAGCAATAATGAGAAAAAAGTAGTGTAAAAACAAGTGGTTACCAATGCAAAAACGCGCATGTCCACACCAGCCATTTGAACCACAAAAATTGTGGCCCTCAACCCCCAACCTGATGATTGCATTGCATGTTTTATAAATCTATGTGACAAGAAATTGAAATGTCTTGACAAAGTTCAAATCCAAAAACATTTGTGTTTAACAACGTGAGATTGGTATTTATGAATTTGTTGCATGTGAATATTAACATTTATAGAAGGAGAAAAGCAAACTCAACCGTGTCATCAACAGCTAAACTCTTCCATTTAATGGCTGTTCCAGAGGAGGCTGCAGCTTGGTCCACTGGATATGATATAGTAACACCCAGTTTTCTCTGTCTTGCTGATGTATTATCTTCTTTGCCATTCTCAGAATGTGTTGAAATAAATTTTCCTAGTTGCAGAGCAATGTAGTCGAATAATTGCTGGAGTACCCAAACCCAAAAAAAAAAGAAAAAAAAGCAGCGTTTTTGCCACATATTACTGATACTGATCAATTCAAGTAGTAGTTTGTTAAAGGTTAGTTTGAAAATATGATTTTATTTTGTTTTATTTCATTATAGACAAAAATAAAAAACAGAAAAAGTTTTCAAAAAACTAAATCAAACAGATTTAAAATCTACTAATAAGTGAAGTAAATACTACCATAGAAGTACCGGCCATCAAATGGGGAGGAATACAGATCTCAGCCCTCTGTAGATCAGAAATAGGCTCGTTCTTTCCCCCAAGTCGCGCTCTCAACATCAAGAAATTTTCACCCCTAATATTCACTCCGTAGTACAATCCTTTCTCATCCCTGCCCTCCAATTGCAATAACAAAAGTACACATTATGTAATGCAAATTCTAATATTAAGATTATCCACAAACTTATTCCCCAATGATATTTAACTTGTAGCTTCCTCCATTGCATTTGGTTTCATATGAAATTATATTAAGTAATTTTAAAATATCATGCGACATTGTTCAAATATTGTGTATTCAATCAATAGCGTAACAAAAAATTTTATGAATAAGACAATATTAATCCACATTTGATCAATAGCATAACGGAAAATTTTACTAATAGAATAATGTTAACGCACATTTATTGTTAAGTGAGAATAAATTACTCATTTAATATCTTTGCTGTTGCTAATCTGGTAAGAAATATTCACAGTGGTCTAAAATTATTTAATAATTTTTATATTTGTATCTTCAAATAATACTCTGAGAGATTTGGGAATGAATTTGAAAAGAAAAAGAAAATATGTGTGTGAAATTAGGCGAAATATAAGTATATTTTATTCACGTTTCATCTCTCTTTTCCCTTTTTCTTCGCAATTCCCTTCTTAAAATCTTTCAATCAAACAGAGCGGTAAATGTGAAACGAGCATCACATGCACAGGATGCGGTATGCATGAGAGAGAGAGAGAGAGAGAACCCGGAGGGGAGAGAAGAGAGGTAGGAGACGAGCATTGTGAGGATGGGTTGATGATCAGGGGATTCGGAAGCAAGGTTTGATTGCATATGGGAAACCAGGTCATTAGCCACATGCCATAGCTTTGAAACAGGGGTTGCGCTTTCACTGGCGAATTTTCTTAGAATGCGTTGTGTCTTTCTCCACTTTCTCTCACTCCTCTTCCACCTCCTCACTACCACCCCCACCCCTACCACCGTCGCTGCCGCCATCACCGCTCCCAACACCACCACCACCACCGCCTCTTTCCTCATCTCAATCTTCTCTCTCTGTCAAATCAGAATCTGTTCAAGGAATTTCCCATTTTCACTCACCACAGATCAGTTATTCCAAAATGTACTCAACAACAAGAAGGTAACGGAAAACCCGACATTCGTGTTGACCAGGGAAGAACGAGTTTCATGCAAGCACCGTTGGGCCCAACCCACACCTTGCCCGACTTTGACATTAGACCTAGGACCATAATTACTGGGGGCTTAACGAGACACACGGCCCATAAATGCTACACTTCTCCTTCCTGTTTTTTTTTTTATTTTTATTTTTTATTTTTTATGTGGGCAGAGATTTTCTTTTATGTTGTATTTGTGTAATATCTAAATATTAGATTGTTTTTAGTGATAATGTGCCAAAGCATGAGTGAACTAGTTCTTGAATTAGTGATTAAATGTGCATCGTGGATAAAAAGAAATGAGTAATGTTAGATATCATAAAAAAATGTTATGAATATGATTATGAAAGATTCTTCACATTTGAATTACACATATAATAAAATACCACACATTAATCAAAGGATGAAAAATCTTTGTAATGTATTTCATGATATTTTTTTTAGGGATTTTTATTGATAAATCCTATTTAGAAATGTTTTAACCCAAAAAGTCCATGAAGGAATTTTTTAACCCATTTAGTCCCATGTATGTATAGTTTTATTCCATAAAGTTCTTTTTCTTGATTTATACTATTTTCTTGGACACTTATGCCCTTATATTTAATTTTGATACCCTTATAAATATTTTTTGAACGGTTAGCAATTTTATGATGTGAACATTCATATTTTAAAATTTACATTGGTAGTAATGTAAAATTGGCCCATGGGCTGCCTGAAACCCGCCCGCGAGCCTGGGCGGGCCCAGCCCGTTGACAATGTGAATATTCACGTTGACATGTTAACATTCACATTAATAGGAGTGTAAAATTGGCCTGCGTCCCGTGGCGGCGCAAAACCCGCCCGCGGCCCATGGGGAGCCCGGGGCGGGCCCGGTCCAGCCTGTTGATAATGTGAATATTCACATTGCATGTTAACATTCACATTGATAAGAGTATAAAATTGGCTCGCGGCCCATGGGCGGCCAAAAGCCCGCCCGTGGCCCGGGGCGGGTCCGGCCTGGCCTGGCCCGTTGATAATGTGAATATTCATATTGACATGTTAACATTCATATTGATAGGAGTGTAAAATTAGCCCGCATCTCGTGGCTGCCCGAAACCCGCCCACGGCCCGTGGGCGGCCCAGGGCGGGCCCGGCTCAGCCCGTTGACAATGTGAATATTTACATTGACATGTTAACATTCATATTGATAAGAGTATAAAATTGGCCAGTGGCCCAGGGCGGGCCCGACCCAATCCGTTGACAATGTGAATATTCACATTGACATGTTAACATTCACATTGACAAGAGTATAAAATTGGCCCACAGCCCGTGCCTGAAGCCCGACCGCAGCCCGAGGCGGGCTTGGCCCGACCCGTGACAATGTGAATATTCACATTGACATGTTAACATTAACATTGATAGGAGTGTAAAATTTGCCCGCTGCCCGAAGCTTGCCCGCGGCCCGAGGTAGGCCTGGCCTGGCCCATTGACAATGTGAATATTCACATTGACATGTTAAAATGCACATTGAAAGGAATGTAGAATGGGCCCGTGGCCCGGGGCAGGCTCGTTTGGGTCCGGACCCAAGCATGTCTGAGTCCCTAGGTTAGGGCCTAGGTCATCACTTTGAAGCCTAGCCCGGTCCATCGGCCCGCTTAAGGCCCATTCAAGGCTCGGTCCGAGGCCCAGCCCGTCCGAGGCGCAATGTATTTTTTGTAGAAAATAATAAAATTTTGGTAGAAAAAATTAAAAAGAATTAAAAAAAAATAGCCAGGTCCGCCCAAGCCCGACCTAAGCTCAAGGCTAGGCCCAGGCCTACTAGCCCGACCCAACCTAAGCTCGAGGCTAGGCCCAGACCCACCGGCCCGACTCGAGGCTCGATCCATCGGCCTGTCCAAAGCTCGAATACCCTTGTGCCAGGGCTAGGGCCTGGGCCTAATTTTTTGGCCCGTGGGCCGGCTCGACCCGGCCCGGGAAAGGCTCGTTTGGGCCCAGGCTCGAGCCTAGTCCGAGACCCTAGGCCACTTTGAAGCCCGACCCGGCCCATCGGCTCGATTAAGGCCCATTCAAGGCTCGGTCCGAGGCCTAGTGTCTTTTTTATGAAAAATAATAAAATTTTGGTAGAAAAAATTAAAAAGAATTAAAAAAAATGGCCAGGCCCGCCCCGGGCCGTCCACAGGCCGTGAGCGGCTTTTGGGCAGCCATGAGGCACGGGCTAATTTTACACTTCTATCAATGTGAATGTTAACATGTCAATGTCAATATTCACATTGTCAACGGGCCGGGCACGCCCCGTCCCGACTCGAATTTTTCCGAGCACCCACGAGGATCGACATAGGCGGGGCCCCTACACATTGACGATATGAACATTCACATTGACGATGTGAACATTCACATTATGGGTATTTTG